CTTCTCTTTCTACACGCGCCGAGACGTTAGCTCGAAATCACGCGTAGTTTCGTCGATCGCGTGATGTTTCGAAGAAATCCGTATGTGACAGTTTTTATAACCTGTCTTGTTTTCGCGTAGCGGACACGAGAACCGAACGTTCTCGCGTCGGTAACATACGCAGAAAAACAATACCGGGTGACGAATATTATTCTACTATTCTTTTATGCTTCGAATTAACGCGATATTTAAACACATTGTATTTATTGAATCATGTATTATTATTATTATGTTACAATTCATTATTTTTATTTAACCAAGAATTGTGTTATTTATCAAACCCTAGCCACTTAACATATACCTTATCTCCCTTCCTACGCAACACTTTTTCCACTAGACACACATCAGGATCGGTGACGCGCTGCAGCTCGTGTTCGTAGAATCCTCCGGCAACAGGTTTTCCACACGAATCGAAGAGCAGATACGTTGCGGGATTAGTTGCCTGTACTTTGGCTATCTTGAACACCTCCGTTGACCAATTCCGCGTATAGCCTTTATCGAAGATGGTTTTAAATTTGCTCACGCGCAGAAACTCGCCCAACTTGAATTTCGCAGGAGCAGCGATCTTTATGTTGTTGTATACGGTGGCAAGCAGCTTATCAGCGATCGCAAGGGTAACATCGCAAGGACGCATTCCGATGGATCTATGTTTTAGTGCATTATACTCTGCAAGTAGACGCGGTAGCGCATCGATCCATTTATAGGTTCCATTGAGCGTAAACAGTTTCCACATATTGTTCTTCAAGGTTCGATTGAAACGTTCTACGACGGAGGCCTTCATCACCGAATACGTTGAATAATGATTGTTAAAAAGTTGATACTTTTAACGAATGAGTCCGGATAGAGGTGTGGGAGTTTTATCGGGGAAGTGAATCGGACACAAATGGTTTTCTTTTCGTCGGCCTTTAAGAACGACCTTTTATTACAAAAATAACGGAAAAACAAAAAGAAAAACCAATGAACAATTATAATAAAAATAACGAGACTGAACAATATGTATTAATCTTTGGCCTCGTTTCTGGCCGTTCCGCGAGGCCAGGTCGTTCCTCTCGCCAGCTTGAGGTAGGCCAAGATTCCTATGAACAGAAAAACACGACTATGTGTTAGACACACGTACACGTTATACGTATCTTCGTCGCGCTCGTTTGCTCGCGCTCCTGGCTTCGTAATTCGAACGTACCGGAGCAGAGAATTGTAAACTTGTCGTAAATTACGAAATATAAAAGTGGACTGTATTTTGGCTAGGAAAAGAATTAAACTTCTTTTCTTCGCCGATTCAGTGGTCGATTGCCCAGTGGACGGGGATGCAAGAGGAGGTTGTAAGGCTCCTAATGCACTGTTCCCGTGAGTATGCACACTGAGTCTGTGCGTCGAGTCGCACTGCAATGCACTGCACGACCGTCAATCTGCGGCAGTAGTATAGCTATGGGGATTCTAACCCATGGGGCAATGAGGGGAGCGTGCGGCGAGGGGAAGTGAGGGCGCGCGGGGGAGTGCGGCGCGGAGAACTTTAGGCGCGGGGCCTGTGGGGAGTGGAAGAGTGGTTGCGCGCACACGAGCCGCGGAGTGGGGGATGTCAGGGGATTAGTCCAGGCCGAGCCGCCGCGGAGACCTCTCCAGACCTGGCCCGCCGTCGGAAATTTTTTAAGAGGGGGGGAATGATCCCCGAAAACTTTTCATACCGAACCGAGGGAGGGGATGACCCTCGAAAATTTTTTTCAACACCCACAGGCATTTTTTTATTGTCTTTTCGGCGTTCTCGGTACGTTTGATGAGATCTAAAAAAAAAGAATTACATAATGTTCTCCTAAGAAAATATTTACAGCTAGCGAAAAAAAAACAACACATCATTCGGCTCGTAAATCTATTCTTTCTATTTATTATTCTAGTACTCGTATAAATTCAGATTTTTATAGTTCACTGTGGTTAGGTTTGGTCAACCTCTTGCAAAACGCGTTATAGAAAATGGTTAATATCATTACGAAACACAAGAAATAAAAAGTTTCATACTGTATACTAAATGCGAAAATTTACTCGAAAAATTGCAGCTCCTCTTTCATCCAGAGTCGAGTCGAGTCTCGCGCAACGATGCGTTTTCGCGCTTTGTCAGCGAGTACGTTATCTGCTGCGTGCCTTTCGCCGAAGTCGTTGCTACGCGAATATGCAATATCGTGTTCGCGACACGCTGCGTCCAACGGATTAAAATATAAAATATAAAATATAAATTAAATCGACGGTCCAGCCTTAGATTTATGCGAGGAGAGAATGTGGAAGACGGGTAAATAAAATTGGAGAAATAATATATGTTTTAAATGAGAATATATTGTTACAATAGAAGAATATATTGTTTTTGTTTTGAAAAGTCGAATCTTAGAATTATGCGAGGAGAGAAGGTGGAAGACGGGTAAATAAAATTGGAGAAATAATATATGTTTTAAATGATACTATATTGTTACATTTTTTTTATGCGAGCATCAACTACAATATCATTGATGGCGCATCCTAACAGTTCACAATCTACAAGATAATCCTTGCAGTAATATTCACTGTCGCGTATGATTTTAGCAGCACAACGTGTATCTAATGTTTCGGAGACAGCATCGCTTTTTTGTTGCAGCACGTTAACAAAAGTTTTAAATTTTGTCCTCACTTCTTCTGCAGTTTGATAGAGCCGCGGATACACATAGCTTACACACGGCTCAAGATTAAATAAAAATGTTACTGTATTCGGTTTGAAATACAGCGACTTAGTATCCATTGTCATCTTTACAATCGGTGAATCATACATGTGACAAAATTCCACCGTTAATTCATGAATCCGCATCAATGATGACCCTGGGCAATTGTGCACGTTCCTCGATGGTTGTACAGCTGTCGAATAGTGTGTTCCATGTATGCCATGGTATTATGAGATGATTCCCACGATTATCGCCGAGAAGAATTTCTACATCGGCTATAGGACCTACTCTGATTCCAATTTCCAAATATTTGCTGCCCGAGGATGTTAATGCGTATCTTCTGACCATGACACGCGATGGTTGGCGCGGCCTAAAAGCATAATCATGAAAATTACCTTTTTTCATGAAAAAACATAAATAAATCAATAAAAAATTATGAAAGGTTACCTGTTAAATGTATTCTCCTTGCATGGAGATACACCATCATCTTGCACGATTGGAACGTAATAACGCATGGCACTGGTACTACACATTTTCTTTCAGAGCACTATTTGTTCCGTCGAAAATTCAGCGAAGCTACTGAGCGATTGATGGAATAGCGTCCGGGGAGACGGCTTAAATAGAGGTGCAATCCCCACCACATTTTATTCTAAAGCTACCATTTTTTTTCCATAATGCTTTTGTTCAATCTTAACATCGCAGCATATCGCGCGATTGCATGTAACTTGGGCCTCCAAGGATAAAAGTCTCGACACGTGTTGAATGTAATATAATATCTGTGGAAGTGCTGAATATTTTATTCTAAAGCTACCATTATTTTTTTTTCCATAATGCTTTTGTTCAATCTTAACATCGCAGCATATCGCGCGATTGCATGTAACTTGGGCCTCCAAGGATAAAAGTCTCGACACGTGTTGAATGTAATATAATATCTGTGGAAGCGCTGAATCTTAGAATTATGTGGAATCAGTAGAAACTGTGTTGAACGATCTTGCGCACTAATTCGTCATACGAGTGAATCATGGAAAGAATTATGCGATATCAGCAGAAACTGCATAGAACCATGTTGGCATGCAATGCATTTGAGGGACGGGGAGAGACACCGAAAGAGTTAGGCAGAGATACCAAATCTGTTGCATTGAAAAAAAAGGATATTACATTTACATTTACATTTACATTTACATTTACATTTACATTTACATTTACATTCCATTTACAATCATGGAACAATTCGCACAAGTAGAACGCCAATTGTTGGATCAATCCGAACGATTGATTTCGCAGGAAGAGTACCTCGCGTGGGAAGAACGGTGCAACGAGTGTATCGAATCTTTGGAAGAACACAGCCGCGTGAAACGCCCGCGATTATCGATCGGTGTTCGACAATCGTTGGTTGCTCGAATCGCGCGACTCGAAGGATTGAAACATTTGGTGCGCAGACGTTTCGCGCGTGAAGGTGCCGGACATTCGAGTACGGGACTTTTGTGGCGTGAAATACACACTGCGTTCGATACTCGCGTATTAACAGGTGTCATCCTAAATTCGAATTATATCGAACCGCGCAACTTCCTCCAGGATGCAGAGACCATTGTGCTGGAGCATGTTCGGGACACTTTGAGGAAACATCGAAACCTCAAAGTGAACACGGTGTTCAACGGCGAATTTGTGGCAGGTGACAAGCATGCTTGTAAAAGCATCAACACCCAAAACTGTGAACTCTTCCACACATCCGATCTGCAGGAGTGGTACCAGCGATGCGTCGTCGAATCCACCCTGGCATCGCTGGAAGAGTTCCAGGAACGCGACAGCGGATGGGCATTGGCGAGAATCATGAATCTGACCGTCAATGTCAATAAGTATAATCCACTCCGCGCGGGGTGTCACTTCAAGTTGCCGCGAGAAATCATGCTGAAGAGGGCAACAATAAGCATACAATCCTCGGACAACGCATGTTTCGCGTGGGCAGTTGTCGCAGCTCTACATCCAGCAAAAAAATATCCTGAACGTCCAGGTTCATACCCGCAGTATACGTCGATCCTAAATCTCCAGGGCATTGAGTTCCCAATGTCTCTGGGGTATATTGGGAAGTTTGAACGGCTGAACGACATCTCCGTCAATGTCTACAGCTTCGAGGAGAAGATGAAGAAGGGGCCAACAGTCTTCCCGCTGCACCTCACCAGCCAGAAGAGAGATTGACATGTAAACTTGCTTTACACGCCGAATCAAGAGCACGGCGATGTAGGGCACTTTGCATGCATTAAGGACTTGTCCAGGCTGGTGGGCATGCAGCTGAGCAGGCACAAAGCCAAGAAATTCATCTGCGATCGGTATGTACATTAAAAAATTTATGAAATGTTTGAAAAATGTTGAAATATATGTGAAATTAAATAAATTTTTTTTTGGGGGTTTACAGATACATGCACTACTTCGGATCTACCGAGAAGTTGGAGGTGCATTCGCTGGACTGCGGGCAGATAAACAACTGCGCCATTCTGCTGCCCAGCGAAGGCGACAATCTGCTCAATTTCAGCAACCACGATAGGAAGGAGCGGCTCCCTTTCGTGGTATATGCAGATCTGGAGTGCATCATCGCAAAAACGTTGGACAACCAAGCGGGTGATAATAAATTACATACATATCAACACCACAATGTACACAGCATTGCATATTATATGCATTGTTCATATGATACATCACTGTCGATGTATCGATGTCGCCGCGACACAGATTGTGTTTCATGGTTCGTCGACGAACTTAAAAATTTTGCAAACTTTGCCAAACCTATTCTTACCAGTAATGTTCCCATGCTGGATTTAACTCCCGAACAGTTGACGACATTTCGCAATGCAGCACATTGTCATATTTGCGAAGAACCATTCAAGGCTAGCGATGTACGAGTTCGCGATCATTGCCATCTGTCCGGACGGTTCAGAGGCCCAGCACATTCGGAGTGCAATTTAAATTATAAAAATGTGTTTTACATCCCCATAGTTTTCCATAATTTATCCGTCTATGATTCGCATTTCATTATCGAGGAAATAGCTACCGCTTTCGAAGGTCACATTGATGTATTACCTATAACTAAAGAAAAATATATTTCTTTCACAAAACATGTTGAAGATACGGATGAATCCGACTCGCAAAATTATATTAAATTACGATTCATCGATTCATACAAATTTCTAAATACCATTCTCGACAAATTAGCATCTTTTCTTAACACAGATCAATTAAAAATTTTGCGATCCCAATTTGGAACATTATCCACTGAAGATTTCAATTTATTGGCGCGAAAGGGTGTCTTTCCATATGAATACCTTGATTGCGCGAACAAGCTGCAGGATCCATGCTTACCACCGCGCGAGTCATTCTACAGTTCGTTAACGGGCGAGACTGTATCAGAGACCGATTACGCACACGCCGAGACAGTCTGGCAGCGTTTCGAGATTAGAACCTTGGGCGAATACAGCGATTTGTATTTGAAAACTGATGTCTTGTTATTGGCAGATATTTTTGAAAATTTTCGCGAAAGTTGTATCAAGAGCTACGGATTAGATTCAGCGCATTACTATACTCTACCTGGTTTCACATGGGATGCAATGCTAAAACATACCAAAATTACATTCGAATTGCTCACAGACATCGATATGGTCATGTTTATCGAACGCGGTATACGCCGGGGCTTAAGTCAATGTTCCGGAAGATACGCACATGCCAATAACAAGTACATGTCATCTTACGACGCATCGGAAGAGTCATCGTACTTGATGTACTTTGACGTGAACAATTTGTATGGATGGGCAATGTGTCAGCCTCTACCATACGCTAAATTTCAATGGGTCGAAGATGTTGTAAATTTTGACGTATCTTCAATCGGTGTCGATTCGCCCACGGGATACATTCTCGAGGTAGATCTGGAATATCCGCAACGTCTGCACGATGCTCATGCAGATCTGCCGTTCTGTCCGACGCGTGCCAAACCACCTGGCAGCAGGCAGGACAAGTTACTCGCGACGGTATACGATAAGCAGCGTTACATAATCCATTATCGCAACCTGCAGCAGTGCACGCGTCACGGTCTTCGTATTACAAAGATACACCGCGTGCTTCAATTCGCTCAATCTCCCTGGCTCCGCGATTACATCGAACTCAACACACGATTTAGAACAAGCGCGACAAACGACTTTGAAAAGAATTTGTACAAATTGATGAACAACGCAGTATTCGGTAAAACTATGGAAAATGTACGAAACCATGTGGATGTAAAACTTGTGACACATTGGGAAGGGCGATATGGCGCGGAGGCAATGATCGCGAAACCGAATTTCCACAGCAGAAGTGTTTTTTCGGAAAATTTAGTAGCTGTTGAATTGCGAAAACTCGAGGTGAAATTCAACAAACCGATATACGTGGGTATGTGCATTCTGGACATATCAAAACTTTGTTTGTATGAATTTCACCACGAGTACATGTCTCCTAAACACGGGCAAAATTGTAAAATTCTATACACCGACACTGACAGTCTTATTTATCACATTCGGTGCGACGATATCTACGAGTCTATGAAGCACAATATCGATAGATTCGACACAAGCGATTATCCTACCGACAATCCATATAATATGCCACGCGTAAATAAGAAGGTTCCGGGGCTGATGAAGGATGAAAATAACGGTGCGATAATGACTGAATTCATAGGTCTTAGAGCGAAAATGTATGCACTTCGCGTAGACGGCAAAAAAGATACGAAGAAGGCGAAAGGCGTCAAGACCAACGTCATAGCCAGAACGATAACTTTCGTCGACTACGCGCAGTGTTTGCGATGATGGCAAGCGATATATCATACCCGATTCGACCGACACTCTGCCCTGGGGACATTATAATATACCGTTGTAAAATAGAAATTATTATTATTGTATTTATTATAAATAGTGGAATTTATTGTATAATATAAAATTGTTTACAAATTGTCCGCAAATGTATAGAAATTAGTATTTATTAACTCATTCATATAAATAGTGGGATTAATGTGTAAAATAAAAGTCGCCACCCATGTATATGTATATGC